ATATAAAAATTGAATTCAGTGATAGTTGAGGTTTCATTTGGTCTTGGTGATTTTGCTGTAAGCTCAAGCAACAGCTTGATTAAATGTTTCAAACTCCTTGAAATACAAATAAAAGCTTCAAATACGGGAGGTGTGTGGTACATTTATGATGGGTGAGAAGAGGAAGGTTGGAGCAGTAACTTCAGACATGCAGTAACTGAAACTGCAAGTTTAGGTCCCAGATCTCTCATTCTCTTTTCTCCTGAGATGGACTCACAGTTGAAAATGCTGGTTTAGGTGGCAAAGGTGGTTTGGGACTGACCTACAGGATGTTTGAGCATGCAATACGGCATTGCCCCATACTTTATTACCCATCCCAAATAAAAAGCCTTGCTATTTTATTGCTTTGCACATTGTGTAGTCATTCGTGGTGATATACAAACAGCTGCTTGTCTTATTTTTTGCTGGTTTGCCCTTTGATCTGCCTTTACATGATACAAATAGCTGTGCAGTGCCAGGAGCAATACGTGGTCCATGGAAAGCCTTTGTCAAAAAGGAAGTGAAGTATGGGCACCATAAATGCCAGCACTTCAGGAATCAAATGTTTGGCAACAGCTGGTATGTAAAAAGTGCAGGTATCTGTCTAAATTGAGGAACAGTGGCAAAAGTGTAGTTATTTTCAACTGATTCTGCTGTATTTAGGTGAGATTTGGGCTACACAACCCATATTTCTCCTGGCCAGAAAAGCTGTAAGAGTCACACAGCAGCTGCTGTGTCTGGTGTTGGAGTTGCTCTTGACTGTCAGGTCTCTCTGTTTTGATGAGGGGGCACTGAGGAGCTCTGCTGGGACTGCTGCTGGACACTGAGTTTGGGATATTTGTGCGATGCACACACACTTATGTCGTGCTGCAAGGACAGCATTAGGTAGCTCTGCGACAAACTCTGAAAAGAGTATGCAGGAAGGCAAGTATTTGTGTGCCAAAATCTGCTTTGCAGTGGAGGGTGGTGCATCAACCAAACCCAAAGAGGTGGGAATGGGTTCGGGAAAACTGGAAAAGAATTACCAGGTACTCCAGTCTTTGGATGAGTTTGCTTGAAGGTTTAAAATAACTGCTTCTTTCATAAGTTTGGGCTCTTTCAAGTCTTCACTTTGTCATTTTATACCATACTTTTTTGATTTGGGATTTTCAAGTCCTTAGGGACTGAGCTCTGGCTTGTGTTTCAGCTGAGCCCAGAGAGCAGGAAAAATGTAGAGTGTATTAATTGTGCATTGGATTTTTCTATGAAGTTGTTTTTTCTCTGGAGATTTGGGAGGGGGAGCATTAGGAGCTTGTCACTGTGATTTTTTTGGGCATTCTGCTGATTTTAAAATGTATGCATTTCTCTTGAGTCTTTCACGTAGAGATTGCAGGGTACTCTGAGGCCAAGGGCAAAGAGAAGAAAGCAGTTTTGGGTATGGCCCATTCTGGATATGTCTCCTTGCAGTCAAATCCTAGGCAGATCCATGCCCCAAAGAGGGTACAAGGGGAAGCACCTTTCAGAAGAAGTGATGAAATCCAAATGCACCTGAGTGCTTTGATTGCCTTGCCTTGCTCCAGTGGTTCACAGCAGTCGGAGGATCAACATATGGTTTCTGTACACTGCTGGGTGGCACAGAGCAGCCAGGGACATGCTGGAGGAGTCTGGCCTTGTACTCATCAGGCAGCAACTGACTTCTTAATTTCCACTGTGGTGAATCAGAGGGATAAAATAATGGGCAAAGAAGCGCACAGGGTTGAGTAACCATGCAGAAAGGAAGGACATCTAACAGTGCCAGTTGAGAGAAAAGACAGGTACTGCTGTTCATTTCTGAAGACACTGCACAGAAGTCTTTGGTGTGGAATGACAGGTAGCATCAGCAGTGACAGTCAGAAAAGGAAGTGGGGGAAAGTCCTGGTTTTCAGGCCACTGGGAACTTGAGGTCCTCACCTGTTTTTCAAGTTCAACCCAATATGGCTGAAAAAGCAAGTGAATTAATACCAATTGGCAGAGAATTAAAATAAGGAAGTTGAACTGTAGCCAAACCAGTGAAAGCTTTTTAGATGTTTCTATCTATAAAGAAGGTATATATATAATCACAAAATGTTTGGTTTTTTCCCTCCCTCGTCAGTTTGGCATGCTTTCTTCTTCCCTGCTGTAGCCTTTCATCAGAAAATTTGAACTTTACATCAAACATTGATAAAAAGAGAGTGTTGTGTTTTTTTTTCTAAAAAGGCATTTTATTCACTTTAATATTTTTTGGGAAAACAGTTGAAGCTAGAAGATTGGCAGAGCTGCAGTGCCCAAGCCATAGAATTCCCTTTCTCTATACTCATGGAAACAGATTTGGTCCAGCAAAATTATAAGTTATAAACATATCTTCCATCACCCTACTGGTCACTGGCTGTGATCAATTATAGTTTTGAAGCTGGCATATAAGTATCAGATGTTTGGCTATTGTGTGTCTTTGCTAATCTCCAACCCGAGTGAAACCCTTTGGCATGACACATCCTAGAATTTGTTACGTTCTCTAACAATGGCACATTTTGCATTTCATTTGCGCTTTTCCATCCAAGAACCTAAGAATATCCTCCCCTCGCCAAAGAACAGAGTAATTAATCATCAGGGCTGTTTGTAAGGAAAAGGCCTTGCTGTGGGAACAGAGTCATAGATAAAGTAGAGAATAAAATGTCTATATCCCACTGCATAAATCACTTGGAGAAATATTTTCTGTACATATTATGATTTTAAACCATTTGGATTTTATTTATAAAGTTACCATAAACCAGGATTTCTTTCCCCCACACTTAAGGCATGTTTTTGCAGAAAAATTGTCCAATTCATTTTTAAAGATGCCATAAAGCTGTTTGTGCTCTATTTTTCTGTTTTTAGAAATCTCTTAGAATATTAGATAATTTTCACATCTGTTTTCTGCAGGGAAGACTCCTCCAATTTTGTCTTAATTTCTATCCATTAGAATTATTTCTGAGAGAGTACTTACTAAAATATGCAGACAATCCTGCATTTTAGATCCAGGTGTTGTACTTCTGGAGATCTGTGCATCCACAGAATATAAATGTTGATCAGTGCACCAAGTGTTTATGCGAGTCAGCCACTGAGCGACGGCAGGAGAATTTGAAGAGCTTGCTTGATAAGCTGTTGCCGCTTTTCATTCCTTACCTTTTCTGCTTCGAATTCTTCCCTCTCTTTTGCTGTGTCAGACGTCCTGCTCTTTCTTTCCAGGGCGCTTCCTCGTGAGTTGTGGTGCTCGCTCGTGACCTTCCACACGTGCATGGGGTTGTTACAACCCCTGGGACCAGAGCCAGGGCTGGGAATTACACCTGTTCCTGCTCCTCTGTCTCCAGCGTTCAAACAGACTATCAGGGACTTTGTTCTGGTGCTGCTGCTGCGTGCAGAGGATGATCCTGGTTTAGGTTGCTGTCTCATGGCCATGCTGGACAAGACTTATGGTCTTGGTTTTCCCAGTGTATACCCCTGCTTTTTTCTTTTGAATAGGCTCACTGAACCTGTGTCACCTCTTTCCTCCCAAAATGGGTGGTTTTGGGTCTGTGCTGCAAATATAACTTGTAGACTCAACTGTTTACAGGGAAGAGTTAGATGTGAGGAGGGAATCCAGGGCAGTTTGGTGAAGCTAACAAGATGTCTGAGAAGCATCTCCTCTCAGGTGAATTGCCTGGTCTTTCAGTGCTCCAAGGCAGGGATGTTTGTGGGACTCTTTCATAACTGAGATAAACAGATTAAGGTAGCCATTCTGCCCTGGGCCTGCAATGTTATACCTATTGGTAGAATTACTGGTCAGTAGAGTTAGATGTTGTATATTACTGAGCTGGGAAACTAAGCAAGTTATTCCCTTGAAAGAAAACACTAAATAGGTACCTCTTCCTTAATGTATTTTGCAAAGTCTTCTTGGCCTGTAAGGGCAGAATCTCCTGTCTGTGCTTAAAAGAAAACAGTAGTTAAAAACTAATGGAAAATACTTACTACTTTGGCTTCTTTCTAAGGTAATTGTTGTACATCATGCATTTGGAGATAAGATGAAATTTAATCATCATAAAGAGGTACAGTTCCACTGCCTGGGTCTCCACCTGTGTGTGTCCCAGAGGGAGTGGGAAAATGATAGCCATTGTGAAGAGCATAGCCATAGCTGACTGTTCCCAGACCTTAGGAAGGAAGCAGAGCTTGCTCTCCAAGCTGGACCAATGCATGTTACTCAAGGATGGTATGCAGTGTTTGCTCTTGTAAATAAGTTCTGGGTTTTAGCATGACAGTGATTTTGATTAGTAAATATATGCCCTCTATCTATTCCTAAGGGTTTAGATGTTGTGGCAGAAAGCGACTTTTGTGCCTGAATGAATGTGTATGTAAATCATTTTACTGTCAATAGCTTTACTTTTGCCCTGCACCATAAAAATTCACTGCTCTAAGGGCTTCTGCATAATGGGCTTTTGAAGCCCAAACAGTTCAGTTGCCAGAAGCTGTATTTACAAAAGAAATTCAATCAGCCCATCAGTGACACTTCTAACATCTTGATACTGTCTGTTATTTTGGCAATTGCAAGTGGAATTCCCCTTACAGGAAAATCCTGTAAATGTATCATCTGTCTCATATATAATTTTAAAGCCAATCTTTAAGAATTCTGAGATACCATTAGATTCAATTTTCTAATAATTTTGTGTAGGTTGGGAGTAGTTTCTAGGTTTCTTTGGAACCTTCTTGAACTCCTCTTTGGGCAGTCCTCCTAGGATTTTCTGTAAGAATTATCCCTAGGGTGATATCTGTAATTGACTTGGGGATGTTCAGAAGAGCTTACAAGGGCCACTTCTGCATGAGTCATCTGTGACATTGAGTTACAGATGTTGGTTGAGCTTTGCACACACAGGCTGTGTCTCGGAATGTCCCCAAAACAATGTGGTGGTGCCAGCAAAGTCATCCATATTGGCTGAAATTACATCAGACTTCTCCTTTCTTTTTATCCACTGTAGGTGTTCTCTGCCTGCCGGACAGCTTGAACCTTCACAAAGACCAGCAAAGGTCCAACAAGCCTGGGGAGGTGCAGATGTTCAGCCAGTCAGAGCTAAGGACCATCGAGCAGTCTTTACTCGCTACGCGCGTGGGGAGCATTGCTGAACTCAGTAAGTACAAGGCTGTCAATAACATTTGTATTTCTTTCCTGAAAGTAAGGCAAAGCCAATTTGCATTGTCTGGTTCTGCAGAGGAGAGATGAAAGGGCATATGTAATGTTGAAGGAGACGTTGGGGCAGATCTAGCTGCGTTCATGCTCCATTGGTTACTTTGGAAAGTGAAGCCATAGGATGAAAGAAGTCTTGTGCAGACTCATAGCAATGCCTGTGGCTTGTTTCCATACATTGCTCTCAGTTTTAAAGCTGGAAGATGCTTTATTTCGTCTTCCCTGTGTTGTATTTGAGAGCACCTCACAGCTTTTGTATTGGTGTCCTGTCTCATTTCAGTGGGATGTCTGTTTTATGATGGCAGGCAGAAAGCTGAAGGCTGCAATAAGTAAAGGAAATATTGCCACACGTTTAAGGCAGAGCTAGTTTCACGTGTGTTGGAGAAGATCCTTCACTTGCCTTTCCTTCTCCAGTTTCAGCAGAAGGAAACCCCACAACTCAAACATGCACCAGAGGAATTTACTCCTGAAAGATAAATTATTTGCTATTAATCAAAACACTTTTTGAGAAATATGGGAATCTACAATATTTGTCAAAGTCTGAAAACTTTGCTTTTGGCACAGATAAACAGTAGAAGACAAATCTCATGTGCATCCTTTTGTGACATGGAGATAAATAACCAAAAGTGCTTCATTTAAACTTTTTTTTTATTAAGAGAGAAGTGTTCCAATCACATGTTTATAGTCTAGTTAGATATAGAAAGCTCTGTGTGGGATAACAGAAACATTCAGACAAATTTTCTTCTGAGATTTGTGAAAAATGCTGTCAAGCATTTTTTTCCTGAGGTCTGTTATGAAATTTTGGGGGGAGAAATTAAAAAGTACTGAAATACATGAAGATACAGGCTACCCAACTTACTGTTGTTCCCATTGCTGCACTGTGTGCTACCAGCATCATAAAGAACATGTACAGGGATCTGATGTTCATTTTTTGGGCACTTCCTGTAGCAATGCAAGTCTCCTCTGTAGGTCCGTCGTATCACCATGGCTCAGTTTTGTGCTGTTCACAAGCCGTGTGGATGCACCAGGAATGGTTGTCTACAAGCCGCAAGATGAATTTCTGTTTTCAGCTTGCCAGTTTTAATTTGCTCTGGTGAAATGTCAACAAGCCAAGAGCACTTACATGCCTTAGTGTGAAGTGTTGCTCCGTCTCTGGAATCAGGTGTTTGGTGTTATTCAAATTAAGTAATTTATGCTCATTTATTTCACGCGTATGAAACACACAACAGTACAGTCTGTGTGCCAAATAAATTATGCATGATACAGCTCTCTTTCTTAAAAGTACATATGGTTGGGTTTTAACAAATAAGTAATTTATGGATATTTCATGGTGGGTGGTTTTTTTTTTTATTCTGGATTTTCCTTGGACCTTTGTACACAACCCGAAAAGCCAGACTCACTTAGTTAGAGCACCCTCTCCTCTTTTAAAATCTGATTTCTAGAAATCTGTCATCTCTAAGTGTCCTACCTTACATTCAGGTCTTTGGTTAGTAGGGTTTGCTTTATGTACGTTGTTGGCTGCAAACACAGGCAAAACACTCTTCAGGGTGGCCAGTTCGAAGAACAGAGCGCATCAGTGGGAGTTAGATGCAGCTGTCGGAGAGGTTGGCACCTCCAGCAGCCTGGTAGCCCTCCAGAAAGCCCTCTGGCCAACTGTGGAGGGATCCTCCCTGGCCTCTGCAAGCAGATGCATGTTGGGGAAGCAGCAGTGGGAGGAGTGGTACTTGGCAAAGCTTGCAAGACTGGATATGCTCAATTGGGTAGAAATCTGTGCTGTGCAGCAGTGCTGGTGCAGAGTTCAAAACTCAGCTGTGAAACGTGGAAGGAGGTGCAGCGTGATAGTGGGCAAAACCCCACTGATTTTGGAGGAAAAGTCATGAAATGGAAGGAAATTGGAGGGGCGAGGGGATACAAGTAGGTTTGCTCTTTGCTCAGTGCTTGTGTGTCTGTCTCTGGCAGCAGCAGCAGCTGTGAGCCAGAGGTTACAGCAAAACCTCTGCCACAGAGAGCAGATGAGGAACTGTAGCGTGGGGGCAGAAATGCAGAGCAGTGGGGAGAAGCTGGGGGGAACACCTGGGGATCATGAAGGCAGGGAAAGAGTGTAGGCAAAGGAGGTTTTATTGCTGCCTTGGTGGTGTGAGGGGGATGGAGAGCTTTAAAAATGACAAGCATTGACATGGAGAAAGTGAGATAGGAGGGAAGGATTAGATACAGAAAAGCCCCTGTTTTTGTGGGGGCGAATAAAGGTGATGAGGGAGACTCTCCGGATAGGAGGGAATCAAGAGGGATAGCACTTGTGAAGAGGAGGAGAAGGTAGCAACTAGAACTGAGAGACAAGGACAGAAGCTTGGCCTGTGGACCGGCAGAGCGAGCAGTCCCCAGGCATGTGTATGCAACGTCTCATCGGCTTGCACTATCCCAGGAGCCAGGATTTCATTTCTTTTCTCTTCAAAAGGGCACAAAAACCAGGGACAAAGACTGATCTTGCAATAAAGCAATTTAATTTTATCTCAGGAAAAAACAATATCTTAAAAAGCAGTTCTAATTGAATGAGATTTCCTGTAGTTTATTGACATCAGTGATTAAAGTATTGCAAGTACGCAGAATAATTGGAATTAACAAGTTGCCTGCTTGCGGAGGAAAGGCTTCCCCTGCTCCTGGTTCTACTTAGCATCTTTGCATGCAGCAACGTGGCCAGCTGCCGAGCTGCTGGAGGCTTTGAGAGCGGGAAGTCAGATCTGTGCCCTAAAAGACAACAGCTGGCAAACGGGGTCTTTTTTCTGCCCAGCACCTGTATTTCAGCTCCCGTCTTCCTAATTTCTTTACGGTCTCTCGCAGGTGAAAAATAGATTCACAAGGTGAGAAGCCTTGCACTTTGTGGCACCTTCACCTTGCCCTACTGGTGATGGCCCTCATGTGTCTGCACCCTTTGTTTTTTCATGCATTCTGTCAGTGTATTAGAGAATTAGTGTATTTGGGTGAGCTGTGTCTCTCCGGGGGGTTGACAGCAGGCAGGAGAATTTTGGGAAAAGGTGGGAGGACAGACAGGACCATAGAGGAGGGCAGCACCCGCTGGGAGTGCTGCAAAGGAGGATGTCAACCCAAGCTGCCACTGTGCAGTCCTCATGGCCAGATGGGTGCAGCTGGATTCATGGATGCTGGTCCCCTCCAAACACTGCGTGCCTGGTGCTTCTGCTCTCATCTCCCAGGCTTAGCAGGTAGCAGGCTCTGGTCCTTGCTGGGACAGCCCTGCCCTGGCTGGTGGTGGCCAGGTGAGGCAGTGCCACTGGCCCTGGGGAGCTCTCCTGAAAACAGGAAGAAGAGGTGATGTTGGTGATTTAAGGGGGAAAAAAAAAATCAAAGGAAGGCTTCATCTCCAAGGCTTAGGAGGAGAATGTAAATAGACACCTAATTCCGCACCACAATTACAGCCGTACTGCGTGATTCCAAGGCAGAGGCTTAAAAAATTAATGTGAAACCTTATTCATTAAAATATAATGAACATGGCATAAAGTTAAGGAACAACAATAAATCTGGCCTATGTTATATTGGCATTTAGTATTCAGGAATTGTAATTGCCTACTACAGTGTGTTTTAAAATAATGTAATTTCATTTGAAATGCTTATTATATAGAGAACATTGGGAAGAACTGAAGCACAGCAAAAATAATAGGATTTTAAACAGTAGCCTCACAGTATTTCACTGTCGAATCTTAGAGAAAATACTTCACAGGACTTCTTTTTCCAAGTTTTTTTTCCTGAAGTTTCCTTTATTTCTAGACCAGACCTAGAGGAGAAGGGGAGTAGGTCTGTTTGGTTTATTTTCATAAAGTTTTTGGGATTCATCTAGATTTCTAGTTCTTCTCTTTCATTTCTTCCCTCTTCAGATGAGGAAAAATAAGTAGACTGAACAGAAAAAGACAGCAACATTAGGGAGCGCTTTGGCTGTGGATAGATCCCATGATACTGCCTTTTGACCTTTGAATATTTTTCCTAACTTCTTTATATGAGTGTTTGCAATCCACAAACATTTACGTTATATTTGAGTGCACAACGCTCCAAGACACCTATTCATCATCCATCTAAAAATACCACTGCTGGCTTGGAGACCAAATGCAGAAGGGATGAGGCTCACAACTGAGGGTTGTTGCTGTTTTGATGGATGAAGAAGGACTCTCTCTCTTGTGTGTGCACGTAGGTTGTAACGGAATGAGCAGAGCCTTAAGGTGCACTGGACACTAATCCTGGCACCAAGAAATTCTCCTCCCTCACTGTTTTTTACTTGGGGTAAAGACTATAAGGTGCTGGTGTACAACTGAGCTGGGACAACCATGCTGTGCTGAGGCTGTAGAAGGTTGGGTCTCTCAAGCATCACAGAGGGATAAACAGTGGCTTAGGATGTCATCCAAAGCATGTCTTCATTGTATGTCTTCAGGTTAGAGCAGAGAACTTTTTGGGGCTTGCTTTGAGTGCAAAGATGGCCAGTCTGCTGTGGCTTTTCCTGGTTGAGCAGTTTGCTACCCAGCCTTGTGGAAAACATTGTGACTGGTGGTGGGGGTATTACTCTGAGTGTTAACCATGACAAATAAATGTTTTTATTCTAAACTGTGATAATCTGAAGATGAGGATGCAGCTTAACACTGCTGATCTTAGAGTTTTTTGCTTTTGAATGGTGTTTAACTTAGAGCAGTTCCCAGATGTGATGTTCAGGCTGGTATTTCCTCCCTGTCACTACTCAGGTCTCAGCAAAGATTCCCTTTTTGCCATTGGAAGAATGCCACCCTTCATGCCTTCTTTTCATTCCACATCATCCTCTCTTTGCCTCTGCAGTGCTGACTGTATATATTTCCAAAATAATGGCCTCCCAGTAGATCTTGGCATGCTTTTAGGGATGAAAGGAAGGGTTACTGCTCAAGTGTAAGAAGGAATGTGATTGCACATACT